TGGTAGGCCGACCACCCTTTACCACAGTGCGCTCCGCTAATGCCCACAGATTTGGAGATTCGGCAACGACTCCAGCTTCGTTCCTACTGCCCCTCAGATTGTGACGGTTCATTTGATGCTCGCGACCATCACCTACCAGATTGCGACCCGGAACAGCCAACACAGCGGCAGCACGATGCTGGACGATTCGCATGCCCACTACATGTACGCGCTGAGTTTCTACAAGGAGCTCATTCGCGGAGACCACGGCTGGGAAGACGTTCAAGCCATGGCCATGATATGCCACCATCTCCGGACCTTCCCCAAGCCCGGCGCGGCGTGGATCATGACCTCGACTGTCTACTTGTTCGCTGTTCAACTGGGTCTACATAGATCTGTCAAAGTCTGGGTAGACGGCACCGGAGAACTTGGCAAGCTGGACATCGAGATGAGGAAACGAGTCTACTGGACGCTGCACGCGCTGCTGGTCAACCTCAGCGGAAAGCTTGGACGGCCTATACCCATCAGCATAAGTGACATCGATGTCGAATTCCCGGATCCAATGAACGACTGTCTGCCTGGCGAGGAAGGCAAGCTGGACATTTTCCATCAATGCTCGTTCCAAGTTGGCATCCAAATGGCTAAATACATTGTCTGGGAAACGGAACTCTACAAGATCATCTATGCTGTTCGACATTCGCCGAAAACATACCTGGAGGGCTTGAAACGCCTCGAAGCCGGCATACAACAGTGGAAAGACGACCTCCCTTACGAGTTGCGCGACCCGTCGCATGCGTCTGAGGATGACCACATATTCGCCTTGTATCTCGAGTACTGGTATCAGGCGTTCAACCTACTCTTACACCATCCAGCCGTTTGCAGGTCCACTGACACGGCCATCATCAATTCTAACCTGGACAAGTGCCTGACTGCATCGCAGAAGATGCTGCACAACTGTACGGCGATGATGAACAAAAAGAGTCTGGATATTCCCTGGATTAACACGGTCGTTTACATTGCCGCTGCCTTCACCACTCTCTTCATCTCGTCTATGCGGCAAGAGCAACTGTCGCCTGTGGATATGACAAAGCTCAAAGGCGACATGGCAGCCTGGGTCAATGTGCTCGGCGAATGCGACCAGTTTCTGGGATCCTGCAACAAACTCAAAACTGCCGTCGCAAGGATCGTCGACCAGTCGCTTAGTAACATCAACGATAACATTGTCAAGCGAACTGCGACCGAGTCTCTCGCTCGCGTAGCGATGCATGCTCCACCCCGATCGACGAATACCGCCCCCACGTACGACAACAGCGGGTACCGCGACCAGTACACAACCTCATCCAGTTCACCCACGGACCCTACCCTCACCTCACAGTCGGTAGGCCCGTACAGTGGTCTTCCGGGAAACACTACACATCCATACAGTCTTGGCACCCCGGTGGCTCTCCCTCAGCATACGAACAGAACGTACGAACAACACGCATACAGCAACGGCGATGAGACAAGCATGCATGCAAATCATGCAGCAGCACTGGCAGGAGCAGGCTCGGGTAGCATGTCGCAACCCTCAACTGATGCGTACGCCTACAGTAATGCGCAAATTGCCAACAACGGCCACCAGCCCGCGTACGCGGCTAATACCTATGCTCCTCAAGACTGGAGTCAATGGACACGAGCATACATGCAGCCACACAGCCAGCCCGGTGAATATCTAAATACAGCAACCACTCTCATGACTCTGGGTCGAGACGGTGGGTCCCAGGGAACTGGGAGCGACGGCCAAGGGCTTGTCCAAACATCCGGAGTCCAGGGACACGCTCCCAGCCATTGGCCAGATATCGCATTCCCGAATGCCGCGACTGGTGGCAGCCACATGGCTCAACATTGAGCTGGGAAACACGACACATGGCACATAGAAGGCTGTGTACCTTCGGCTAATCTACATGGGTATTTGATCTTTACGGTCCGGCGTAGTGGCAACCTTCGATACCCGGCATCTGGAACACTTTGTGGGGTTAATGTATGGATATGAAGCGGCTCTCTGCGAGCTGCATGTGTTTGGTAATTTTAATTGCAAGATCTTTTCTTATGTATAATACTTCGGTTGGAGGACAGATTCCGTTCGTCGGAGAACGAACGGCCGAACACGACACGACGACCGGCTGATGTTGGTCAGCAAGGGATAGATGTCTTGTTGTTGTTGAAGGGATACGGGATATTTGCCGAGTTGCAAACAAAGGACCATTGCAGTCGAAACAATGAAGATAATGATAATATCGAAGTAGGCCCTTCTCTGGTGTAGCATGTCTGATAACAAAACTTCCACAAACCATGCATTCTCTTCCCGCGAACATCGACGGGTCGGCCGTAATAGTCGCCACAAGATCTACTCTTCGTCCAGACCATAGCCAGGTAAATTGGCCACCCGTCGCCTCGGTGCTACAGTGCGGACCCTGGAGAGTGCGCGCATCAATCTAGCAGCAGCACTAACCCGTGCCACCTAGGCTAAAGTAGGAAGCCGACTTGACTACTTGGCACGATCCCACCAATTGACCTTCCATTCGAGCACCAAGCCCGATAAGCTTCTGTACTTCGATCCACCGCGCTTGGTCACTACGTAAACCTCCTTCTGCTTTGGAGCTGGCGGTGCAGACAAGCACGACAGATCTCCTAAGCTTTTTTCGGTGCCATCCGTGGTTTAATAGGCGTTGAGTTTAATGACTCGGTAAGCCTTGCAGCCGATGATCCTGTGGCCCTTACCAAGGGCCGCAGGATGGGCGGCAAAACGGTATAGCGTCGAACTTAGCTATGTATATATGGGCGGCCTGAGGATGGCGAAGATGGATCTCTACGCCGTTCTTTCGTCCTTGAGTCGCTGTCGTGGTCTGTGCCGTCGATTGGGCTGTGTGTCTGACAACCTTGGTACCGAAGCTGCGCAGAAGAATATCTTCGCTCTTCTCCCGACACCCATACCTCACTCGCGCGGATCTCTTGCGGAGGTAATCCGGGTACAACAGTTCCTATCCACGCATCGTTACTTCTTTCATTCACAACATGCGGTCCTCGGTCTCCGTCTCGGCAGTGGCCCTCGCCCTGTTGCAGGGCACCAACGCCTTGAATGCGGCCATTCAGCGCAAGCTTAATCTGCTTGCCGATATGGGCATGAACCCAGATGGCTCGGCCATGGTTACTTTCTCCGACGACGCCGAAAACAGCGCTTTCGATGCCACGGCTTTCAAATCCCTCAAGATTGCGACTACGTCAAACAGCCCGGCTGTGTTGGCTGCCGCGCCGCTCAGAAACATCACTCCGGAATATGTCGAGCTGCCACTGGACCACTTCGCCTACAAGAAAGGCCAGGATCCTTCGTACCATGGCACATTCTTTAATAGGTACTGGGTCAACATGGATGCGTACAAGCCTGGCGGTCCCGTTTTCCTCTACGACACAGGCGAGGCAGATGCAGAGCCGGGTGCGCTGACCAGGCTGCTAAACGAAACCAGCTTTTTCAAGCAGCTCGTCGATGACTATAACGGTATCGGAATCGTTTGGGAGCACCGCTTCTACGGAAACTCAACACCCACGCCTATCGACCTCAACACGCCAGCCGAGGCATTCGAGTTCCTGAACACGGAGCAGTCGCTTAAAGATGTCGACGCCTTTGCTAGGCAGTTCAGCAGGAAGGGTGTCAATGCTACGCTCACACCCGACAAGACTCCCTGGGTTTTCGTTGGTGGCTCGTACCCCGGTATGAGGGCCGCTTTCATGCGCAACTTGTACCCCGACACTATCCACGCGTCTTGGGCCTCTTCAGCTCCCGTCGAAGCTTCCGTTGACCAAAGCTTCTACTTCTCACCTATCTGGCGCGGTATGCATGCCAAGGGCTTCGGAAACTGCTCGGAGGATATCCACGCTGCTGTTAACTACATGGACAACATCATGGACACAGACTCACGCGCAACCGCCAAGCTTAAGGAGCAGTTCCTTGGACTTGGAGCTGCCAACAACTCTAACCCAACCTTTGCCGATGCTCTTACGACTCCCTTCTACCTATGGCAGTCTTACGGTATGGAAGGTGGATCTCTGGGTCTTCGTCAATTCTGCGACTACCTCGAGAAGGATCCCAAGACGAACACTACAGCTCCCGCGGAGGGCTGGTCCAAGAGCAAGGGCGCGAAATGGACGGTTGATCGATGGGCGAGCTACCCTGTCTTTGCCAACAACACGAATGATTACTTGGAAACCGAGTGCTCGGGCAAGTTGAACGTGACCGGTAACTGTGACCTGAACCAGAGGTTCACAGATCCCGCTTCGATTGCTTGGACGTGGCAATACTGCACACAGTGGGGTAAGTCTTCGTCCTCTCAAACCCAACTTCCCTCCTTGCATAATACTAATTTACCCATCAGGATACTTCCAATCCGCCAACCTTGGATCCCAGCAACTCGTCTCCAAATACAACTCCCTTGAGCACCAAAAGGACATCTGCCACCGCCAGTTCCCCAACGCTCCCAAGTCGCTCTTCCCTGAGTGGCCAAACACCGCCCGCACCAACAAGATCTTCGGAGGCTGGGATATCCGTCCTTCCAACACCTACTGGTCCAACGGTGAATTCGATCCCTGGCGCACTCTCTCCCCCGCTTCCGCTGAGCCCTTTGCCCCCAAGGGCGTCCAAGTCATCCAGGACGTACCCAAGTGTGGAAAGAAGACTAGCAGGAACGAGCTCTTTGGTCTGGTCCTCAAGGACGCGCAGCATTGCTACGACTTCAGGACGACGGGTTCTACCGTGCCCGACGGACCCGTTAGTCGGACGTTGTTCAGGAAAGCGCTAAGCGAGTGGCTGCAGTGCTACAAGCCCAAGAAGGGCCAATCGAAGCCTTGGAATGCCTAGATGCAGTATGCAGGTCTGGGACAGGGCCGTCCCCTTGCTTCGGGTAGAAGAGGTGGCATTGCTACGTATTGTTCTTCCCTGTCCACACCTTACTTAGACGTCATGATAACTGAATTCTTATCATCTGATCCTACAACTTTGACCTTGCCACTTTTGATTGTGACTGCTGTTCTCGCGTTTTATCCAAGCGAGCTTCCCACTCCCAGACTTCCCCTGTAAATCTGTCTTTCTCCCACGCCTCATACACATTCCTCTTCTCTTCCTCGCTACTAACCCCACACATCTCCCCCCACACCTCCAACTGCTCTTTGAACCCTGGATTTGGATCGCACACGGGTCGTCCCTCACATAGCTGCTCCAGCGCTGCGGCAGGGGTGATGTTGTACTTCCAGATCAAGTATGCGCAGACGAGTGTTGCGGACCGGGACTTTCCCATTGCGCAGTGGATGAATACACCGCCGTTCTCGGCATTTAGAGCTGTGTCGATGTACTGGACGGCGGGGGTAAAGTCTTGGAGCAGGTTGGTGTTTGGGTGGTCTTCTGAGCGGATGTGGAAACTAAACGTGAAGAATATATTAGTAAACCGAGATAGTAGAGAACTAGAAATGTTTTTTCCATCTCGAATTATTTAGGATGATCACATACTGAAGCATCTGTTAGTATACATTCATAACCCAACTTCCTAAATAATCTTTCGAACATACCTGTTTCAAATGCCTAAATTTCTCCTGCAGTAAAGGATCATAATCTATCACAGATAGAACGTGCGTAATGCCTGCTTTATCTATGAGGTCGCCTTGGTATAGAGCGTAGAGACCGCCGATGTAGAGTTTACCCGCCCGGGGGACGAGATCGACCCAGCCCATGCCTGTGTGTCCTGTGCTGCCGTGGAGGAGGAAGGACATGTAATCTAGAAGTTAGACAGGAAGATGATGGGGTATGAGGGGTGGAGGATAGGATGGTAATGGGTATGCGATAGTGTTGATGGCTGTGGGCGGGATTATGGAGGCTGGAGAACATGCCGAGGTACGATTGGGACAGGACATCATGTACTTCTCGATGTGATTTCTGCATGTATTTCTGCGCGCCTGTCCTCTTCTTTCGCACTTTTCTATTAGCACGCGGCGGGTATCTTCGTTGCAACGTCCAAATGGTGTCGTGTGAGAAGCGCTGCCCGCAATCGGCCAGTGGCATATGGTGAGGGAGAGAGGGCCCCACCTGCGTGGAGCGCTAGACGGCGGACGCGCCTTCCAGCCTCGCCATGGGACGCGTCAAACTTCACACCTGCCATCTGCCATCCTCATGCTCACTTCCAGAGATCGCGCGACATCATCACGGCATTTGTCCTGTACGACGAGAGCTATCATGCAGCTTAACTGTGAGCATGGACTTCAACGATGTTGATGCAGGCGGCCTGGGCATGACGTCAACGCGACTCTATCAAATTGATGGAAACAGTATCATGCGCTCACCCACACAGGCTGACACGAAGACGGCATGTCAACCTACGATGATCTGTCAGCAATCTCTTCGATCAGATTTTACTGCTTCCAGGACTCCTTATTCTGTTACATATCTCAGAGCATTTCCTATGTTTCCAATTCATCGATCTTTCTATCGTTGATATTAGGGTGTTACGAGTTGAACGCATGCACATCAGAAGAGTATGGACCGGTCGGGATGCACGCCTATCCCATGTATAGGTGCCAGCGGTGAGTGAGTGTTAACTTCGTGTGACAGTGATTCGCGTCGCCGCGTCTACTACCATGAGACTTCTTTCGGCTCTTCAAGTAGTGAAGGTGAAAATATACCCGAAGTGGTTAGCTGTAGCTAGACGCTGGTCTAAGCAAACAAACACTCACGCAGAAACTTTCTCGATGGCTTTTCGGAAGTTTTAGCTACACCACCCGCGCCGACATGTCGTCCCTACGGCCTGCACACATTGTGCTGAACCCGTACTTCTACCCAGCGGGCAACTCACCAGCAGTGTGCCTGACTCAAAATCTTCCGCCAGAGAGAAATGCTGCTTTGCTTCTGCTTGGTTGCGGCGACGTCCGCAATATCTTGTTCACTGTCTACGGCGGCTCGGGTACAGGTGAGCAGCTCAATATTGACTTTTACAAACTGTGCTAATTTGAATAAGACGACCGCCGCCTCGACTTCACTTGTTGCGACCTAGAAGCCGAGATCATCGCTCGCAATGCGCTCTTACTCACATCGATACTTGATGATATGACTGGCGACCACACGCAACAGTTATGGAACATCTACTATCATAACTTTCTCGACTCAGCGTCCGCAAGTCTGCTACAGACTCAGGCTGCAAAACTGGTCGCTCAGGCTCAATCACTCGAAGCCTGGCAAACCAGCTCTTATGCGCAATGTGTCGAGTTCGGCGACAGTACTACATTCGCGAAGGTCCTCGAGCTCTGGACAACATACGCTACACCGCCGGCCGACAAGAAGCAGCACTTGCAACTACAAGCAAAGTTGAGAGCGCAGTGGCGCGCCGCGAAGAAGTGGCAAGAAATCAAAGTCGAGCCTCACGCATTGCAACTCACTGGCGGCCGATCGTTTGCCCCAGTCCTTGAAGAAGCACCAGCCGAGCTAGACAAGACGTATCGTACATACTGGCGAACTGGGACTTTTCTGGAGAACGAGGAGATGACCAGTCAACTGACCATCGCGAATCCGATGTTCATGTGCCTTCGCGACGGCCTTCAGCTTCACTATGGAACCAGCCCACTACTAGGGTTTCATCATGCTGCAGCTTATACACCACTATCCACCGAATCGCCGTTGAAGACAAGCGAAGCAGATATCAAGGAACTACCCAAACCTATGGCCTCTGCGCTAGCGCAATTCTCCGAATGGTGTAAGGCCTTCCGCCTCATCGCGACGAGGGTCAAAGTTCGTTATGTCTACTCCGAGGCCATCGCGTTCTGTCATGTTCTACGCCATCAGCGGCTGCATGGAGGGTCGAGAAGTGCCAACTGGTACCGCAACAATTGGGGTTACGACCGATTGGAGCTTGACGCCACGTGTTACGGCCCGCGCGGGAATGCTCCGACAGAATTCGACGTTATCGACACATCCAATCTCACAGACCATCTCGGTATACTCAACGTACTTGCTGCTGCTGCTCCCCTCCTTGTAAGCAGATTGGCTGCCACTATAAGAACGGAAGTTTTCATCCCACCAGAAACTACAGACTCTGAATCGGCTAAAGCACTGCTAAGCGGCGATCTACCCACCGTTGCACTTCTGCTTGGTCTGAAGCCTGCACATTTCTGGTCCGACGCGACCGCTTCATGGCATGTCAACGACTCCATCGAAATAGACTCAAGTCATGCTGAAGCCATGGTTCGCTCTATGTCTAGACATATCATCCTCTGGGGGCCTACAGAAACAACCAGGGTCGAGTGGATAGCGCCGAGCCTTGCCGACTTTGTCTTCAAAATGTATCACACCATGTTTCAAGACGAGAACCTGCACAGTCTGCTTGGTTTACTCAACACGGGATCCGAAGGTATGCTTGCCCGCAAGCTCCATACATACGAGATGTACTCGCGAGCAAGTTTGGCAGTTATTCTACTGCATGTCAAGAACTCGGAAGTTGTCGAATGGCGTCCTTTCATTGAAGGATTTCTCGACATGGTGATTCAAGACCGAACACTTATGTTGGGTGGGCATTCCTATCAATCACTTCTGGTGTATATCCAAATGCTTGGTCTGGCTGATCTCGCAACGTTTGCTCATTGGCATCCGGTTTACTACCGAAAAGAACTACAGAAGGGCCCATTCCGAAATTGGAGTACTATCCCACCAACAGTATGCGTCACCATGGCCATACCACATAGTGCGGTTGCGATGTTCGCGGATCTCTCAAATGGATGTGGTACGCCGCAGTGCCATATCATGACACAAACCTCCTTGTCGGCGAAGCAGAATGTCTATCCCGATATTCAGCTCGGTTTTGGCACGATCATAACTTCGGGTACAAAATTCACAGATGATTACACGTTGAATATCCAAGAGGATCTGCAGGGCTGGTCAGGCCAAGCACCGCTGATCGTTTCGACTGTGGTATCTACGCTTGGACTGGTATTCGAAGGCGACCCAGCTTGCGAAGTTAAGCTTTGCTTGAAGAGTACACCGTCTATTGCTGCCAAGTTTTCACACAGCCTTGGTCCATTGCTCGAGCTTTATGGGTCGGCGGTGGGTCGGAAAGATGTTCATATTACGAGACATCGCCCGCATATGACTGGTGATGTCTCAGCTGGAGCTATAGAGGAGGTCAAACCCGGACCATGTAAGTCAGCGCTTGCGCTCAGCGTTATACCGCCTTTGCATGGACTGATCATGAGTAGATGGCGAATTCTCAATCACCGTGAAACCTGCATTGGACTCTACTGGCAGCAGGGTATCCGCCCTCGCAGTGCGCTTCAAGACCTTATCAGCCAAAGCCACAGCAATCTTGCAGAGTGGAGGCTCTGTAGACGTGCAATTGCGAGACCCGTTCAGTCTGGAATTGAAGATCTACAGCGGATATGATCTGTGTCAGGACACAGTCCAACTTCCCATGCCCATGGAGTTAGGTGGAGGTAAGACCAAGATTGCTCGGAAGTCTATGTGGATTGAATACTCGGCACCCGTAGCATACTCAGCGTCCTTGTCTACCCAACCAAATGCGCTTTTTCCGTTGCGAAAAGACCCAAGGTATGTGGGTAACCTCCACAATCTTTACGTCACTCATGCCCAGTTTAGGTCATCTACTATTGAGCTAGAACAACTTCATTACGTATGCCCCGATGTCCTGCCTATCCTCCATATCGACACTAAAGGCCCGCATGCTATGTGGCTGAAATGGCTTACATCTGGCAATGCTACCATGTCGGTTTCAGAGCTCGACCTATCCAGGAAGCTCCAAAAGAGGGGCGAAGCGCCACTTGGGCGTATGGGAGTCAAGGATCGGATCTTCCAGATGATCTCACAATTCGCGGACCTCAACAGCACCGCCCGATGCTCTACATTCCGTATTGAGGATACTCATGGCACTGTCGCGATCGTCATGGTCCATGCCATTCGTATGGATTTGTCTAACCAGACTGTCTTTTTGGACGCTGCGGTCATTGCGATGCTCAACACCTTACCCAAGGAGTGTACAGCAGCCGTAGAGGGTTTAGCTGATACTGGTATGGTTACATTCATAGTCTCCGATCAAGAGGCCCTCTTCTGGAAGCATCTTCTACCAGCGTTCGCGGAGCGGTGTCGCCAGTGGCAGCACAAGCCTTCGTGTGAGTACAAGCAACAAGACATGATTCCGATCTGTACTGTACCGGAAGAGAGCTTCATGTGCAGCTGTGGGTTAGGTGTCTTCCCTGACGGCTATCTGGAGGGTCTCGAGGCTTTCAAATCCCTAGCACGGTTCTCCGTCCGTGTCGCCGTTCCCGTCATCTTTCCTTCTCCCGTCAGCCGAGATAGCTCTGCACCAGGTCTGCCAGCGAACATCAACGAGCCGAGCCATCCGAAGCAGGACTGCTGCAACGTATGCAGTGCGCGCTGCTCAAGTGACGGAAAGCCGTTGCAAAAGTGTGCGGGCTGCAAGGTAGCGCTTTACTGCTCCTCGGCATGCCAGAAGAAAGATTGGAAGAAGGGCCACAAGCAAATGTGCTCCCAGTTGAAGAAGGGCTGAAGCGCTTGACTGCGCTCTAGTGTTGTAGCGGAAGTTGGGCGTACTACAACCACGTAACTTGTAGAAAGTCGAGGTTGCAGTGTCTCCTTGCGTCTTGGGTAGAGTTGTATTGGAATCTTTCTGGTCGTTAAATTTCACCTTAGAGTGCAAAGCTACATCCGGCTTCCGCGACGACACGCGAGATGCGTTAGTAGCCTACTTGCTTGGGATGGAGGGGTCGATTGGAGGAGTTGTGACAAATCTGCCGCTCATCTCTGGCGATCGTTGGGTACCAAGGCTTGGAAGTATTGACGTGGACAGACGGTGCTAGTTTGATCACACCATGTCAGAACGCAGAATGTTCAATACTACTAGCATGCGCGATGTTCTTAGCACATTGTCTGTCGTGAAGCTTTGAAGGGTCGCCACGAGGCTGTGATGTGTAGTGGCCGTCTGCTGGCTGGCCTTGGGGTGGTCTGAGCGGCTCTTTGTCGGCTGGTGGATGTAACCTAATCATGATGCAAATAGCGATGGTCAGGCGACGTGTACGTGCTCGTTTTCTGCCGCCTGCCCCGGACCTGCGTCAACGGGTCCACAACCCCGCAAACATCAGCAGCGTTCCACGATACCGGCGACAGCGCAATGTACGACAGCATTTTGATTTTCGAAGCAAACTCGCGAGTGCAGTATGACGACAATTGTCCAGGGAATCAATGGGGCAAGCAAGCACGTGGGGCGCAAAGGGTCCTGCACGGTGGTCCAAGAATAGCCACTAGCGGTTATCGATAGACGCAGGGTGGCGATAGCGGAGCGCAACACCAGGATCGTCAGGGCAGGCCATGCAGGGACGATGTTAGCTGTCAACTTTTCTTTTCGAGGGGTGGGCTTCACAGCTGTTTCAAGAGTTGAAGCGCGATGGAAGTGCTCACGAGGACGCCGGAAACAATGTTTGAAGTGCGACGCTGCCGCGGATGCATTTAACACGCGACACAAACGGCTAGCCCTTCCGTGATTTACGGCCTAGCGTGATCGTAGGCGGATGGAGCCCCGTATCTGCGCGGCGGGCCACCCCTTCTTCAAAGAGAGTGTCGCCGCTCGCTCCTGCCTCGATTCACTCCCTCAGTGCCCTTTCTTATCCTTCGGGACCACCTTCGCTTTACTAACCCGACAGTTTAATCTTTCGTTTCCTAAAGACCCTCGCTTTTCGAAACTTCTTCGCCGTACCATCTCAGGGGAACACAAACCACGAATTTCACGCGTGCGCCCTTCCCTCTCGCCGCACAACCGCCCGGGCCCCTACACCTGCTGTTTCATCCAACCATCGAGCGTACCTGCCTACGATAACTACAAGAGAGGTCGTGATACCATCATCTTGATCGCTGCGCTACTCCACTTGCCGACGATAAGGTGCTTACACGACATCGACGATCCCGCAAACGGTCCGACATCATGGTACGAAGTCTGCTGTCCGCCGCCTTCACGGCGACAGTACTGGTAGGCACAGCGCTTGCTGGAGCCAAATGCACAAAGGATAGCCACTGTCCTCAGGACACGCCCTGCTGCTCTCGTACGTGTCGCAAAGTTCTGTCGCATCGGGGTTGGTGCTAACAAATTCGCAGTATATGGCGACTGCGGTGTCGGCGCTTTCTGCCTCGGTGGCTGCGATCCCCTCATGTCACACAGCTTCGACTCGTGCGTTCCCGGACCCGTATGCAAATCCGGCAAATACACACTAGACAACCTCGACGATGTGCAGACCATCGACAAGTACCTCGGCGATGCCTCCAAGATCAACTGGCAGTCGCAGGGCATGCCCACCATATACACAGACCCCAAGACCAAGGAAAAGTCAACACTCTTGACTATGGCGCAAGGGACAGTTGGAACACTACTGGCATCTACCTACTACGTCTGGTACGGCAAGATCTGCTCCAAGCTTTCCACAGCGCAGGGCAAGGGTGTCGTGACTGCCTTCATTCTTATGTCGGATGTTAAGGACGAGATCGACTTTGAGTGGGTTGGCGTAGACACAAGCCACGTGCAGTCCAACTTCTACTCGCAGGGTGTCACAGTGTGTAAGTAATCCGACATTCGGGCTTAGCCACCCTTGTACATGACTAACGCGATTCCAGACACCAACGGCGAAAACCTTACTGTACCGGACGCGAACACGGTCGAGACGATGCACGAATACTGCGTTGACTGGAAGGAAGACACCCTGATATGGTCCATCAACGGCAAGGAACAGCGCAGACTCGAGCGCTCCGACACATGGAACAAGACCTCTGGCCGCTTCGACTACCCCCAGACACCCGCGCGTATAATGCTTTCTCTCTGGCCTGCCGGTCTGCCCTCGAACGAAAAGGGTACCATTGAGTGGGCAGGAGGAGAGATCGACTGGAACTCGCCCTACATGACCAACGGATACTACGCCGCCCGCTTCTCAGAAGTCACCGTCGAGTGCTACGACCCACCGGAGGGTGCGCAGATCAAGGGAAAGAAGACCTACAAGTACACGGATGAAGCCGGTACTAACAACACCGTCGCCATCACCGACGATGTAGTTGTTCTGGGCTCGCTTATGGGCACCGGCGAGAACCCAGGAGAGGCCAAGGACAAAGACGACGATTCCAAGGCCACTGATATTGCCATGGTACCTGGTGGCAACCCTGGAGGTGGCGCTGGACGAGAAGTCGCCGAGACATCAGCTGCCGTACAACCAAATTCGCCTGCGCAAGAGACGGGCTCATCCGGCAGTGGTGCGACCGCTGAAGGCCAGTTCGTCCAAGGTACAACTGGCAGCACTGGTGCTGGATCCGTCATCCAGCCCGGCCTCGGACGCATGGGAGGATCCGTCTTCGCCATCATCGTCGCCATCATGGGCTTGATCGCGTTATAATCGCATTACCCATATTTTCTTTTACCGTCTTATGCCCTTTCTCATGTCTGTCTGTCTCTATATCCTTGGCGTTTAGTTCGATACCTGTGGTCTTGTAGTTTTGTGTACTGGGTAACAGGGGTGAGACGGGTTGCATACTCCCCCTCGTCGTCTTGTGTATAGTGCATACATTTTCCTTCCTCCTTATCGTCCATCTTCCGCAGTCTTCTGGTTATGACATATATCCTGTCTAGATGGTTGAATCTGTTTGATACAATTTGATACAATAAATGTAATACCGCATTTCAATATCTTGTCTTTTCTGACGACGGATCAAAGATTGAAGAGCTCAGTGCACGGGTGTGAAGAGATTGGAGAAGCTGCAGTGTGTCCAGATCATCTACAGGATGTCTCCATCCGGCCATGCACCGCATATGCATGCCCCGCGCGAGCATGGAGGCATATATAAGATGTTCGCAGCATCTCGCTGGAAAGGTATATCCACGGTCAGGGTACATGTCAGCGCTACAGTGGTGGGTCTCGGCTAACTACCCCAAGCGTTCAGTCGATGCAGAATCTCCCCGGCCCCTGTAAATTACCATGTTGATGACTGCAGCCTCGTTCGACGGGAGATAAAGATGAGCGAATTGGAAAGAGCTTGGTATGCGGAGTGTTATCTGATGCTGGCCTTTGCATGGAAAAGATGCTTGACAGGTGAGATGGGTCGATACATAAGACAAGCCCGTCGCAGGAAGGTTGCTCTGGCGTGGAAGGTCCCTTGCCGTTCGATTCCTACGCCAGTTTTGCAACACTCTGCAATCGTTTAACACTTCTTCCCCACCACCATGTCTCTCGCACTCTACGCCCTACTGACTGCCTTGGTAGCAGTAGCTGCCTACAGCCTCCGCAGCGTTGGTCGCAGGCCCGCCAACTACCCCCCAGGCCCACCGACACTACCCATCATAGGAAATTTGCACTTGATGCCGAAAGAAAAACCGCATCTACAATTCCAAAAGTGGGCCGAAGAATACGGACCAGTGTACTCGCTCATTCTGGGGACGAAGGTCATGGTCGTGTTGTCGTCAGACCAGGCTGTGAAGGATCTGCTTGATAAACGGAGTGGGATATATTCGTCGCGTCCGGATATGTATCTTGGGCAGATTGTGAGCGGTGGGTGTCGTATGTTGCTCATGGTGAGCTTCTCTGACCCTTTGAATTGGTGATTGAGCTGATCGCGGTAGCCGTACGGCGATACATGGCGCATGATTCGGAAGATTGTTCATCTTAACCTCAATATCAAGGCGGCGCGCACGTATGTGCCTTACCAAGAGCTGGAGAATAAGGCCATGCTCGTCGGCTTCCTAGAAACTCCAGATCTCTTCATCGACCATATTCGTCGCTACACCAACTCTTTGACCACGCAGATGATCTTTGGGTTCCGCACTACAAGCATCGACGACCCCAAGTTGAAACAACTCTATTCCGTGAGTCGCATTTCGAGGCCCTCTTATCTCTCTAACACCACCACAGGGCTTCGAAAAGTTCTCCGAACTCATGGGTGAGACTACAGCAAAACTAGTCGACCTCTTCCCAATCCTGCGCTCATTACCCGACTTTGCGCTTCCCTTACGGAAATACGCAAAAGAATTGCACGAAAAAGAAAGCGAGCTATACGTCGGCCACTGGCTAAACGTGAAGAAAGCAATCAAAAACGGGACTGCTAAACCATGTTTCTGCGTGGACCTAGTGCGCGCGCAAGACGAGGAGAAGTTCTCAGACGAGCTCGCCGGATACGTGAGCGGTTCGTTGCTAGAGGCAGGATCAGACACTACATCCGCCACACTCATCGGCTGTGCGTAAACTCACCCCCTGATACCCACCATCGTTGCAACTAACCCCCCAAAGTCATCCAAGCCATGATCCTCTTCCCCACCGTCGCATCCACCGCCCGCTCAGAACTCGACCTAATCTGCGGCGCCCGCCTCCCCACCCTCTCCGACCTACCCTCCCTCCCCTACATCCGCAGCTGCGTCAAAGAAAGCATGCGCTGGATGCCCACCGCCATCCTCGGCGTCCCGCACGCCGTAACCCAGGACGACTCGTACATGGGATACAAGATCCCCAAAGGCAGCGGTGTGCTGTG